GTAAGAACTTTTTCACTATGTAAGAATTTGTTCACCATGTGAGAACCTGTTCGTTATGCTTCAGAAGATTGGAGACTGACGAGAATTAGGCTTGGGGTTGATTAATGATTGTGCATTGAGTCCCCTATACAGAATTTTATTGTTGTTAACAACCATTTGATCAATAAATATGAGAGATGCCCTCTCAAAAAAAAAAAAAGAGATCACTGATCACAGATCCCATAACAAATACAATAATAATAAAAAGTTTTCAATAGGCAAGAATACCGAAATGTGACACAGAGACACAAAGTGAGCAAATGTTGGGAAAATGGTGCAGATAGACTTGGTGGGCACAGGGCTGCCACAAACCTTCAATATGCTAAAAAAAAAAAAAAAGCCACATCTGTGAAGCGCAACAACACCAGCCATAAAACGAGGCACACCTGTCCTCCGTGCGCTTGCCAGCGGACGGTGGAAAACACCCTCCCAGGGTATCTTTGAAGTCCCTGTTACCTGAAATGAATCAGGTGTAGCTCTTTGAAGCCATGGGGTCCTAGGTCCCCTTTAAGATGTGTCTTCCCGCCACAGTTCTAGGCTGTTGCGTCCTGATTGGGCTGGTTTGCCCCAGGCAGTGCTTAAGGGAGCGCACAGCGCCGCAGGTGCTAACGTCCGTGTTGGTAAGAGGTGACCTCACCGGGGAGTCACTCTCCAAGCAGAAGGAAAAGGGGAGAAAAAAAGCATAGTTCTCTGAGGCATTTGGGAGGTGTTGTTTTACAAGGAGCAATTTTATTTGGGCTCTATAAATTATTCTGTGTCAAACTGCATGAGATTTCATCATCACTATAAATGCCAGCGATTAGTGAGGGCGGAAGTATGTTGCTAGATAGACATAAGCTGACTGTCATTACAATGGCAAAGCAAATGGTAACAGAATATGTATGAAATTGTTTTCTTTTAAGAAAAAGCCTACTTATAATTGCATTTAAGCATTCCCTTTCCTGATGGAGTCTGTCCCATCAGCATGACTTATTTTAACAAAACAAACTCAGTTTTCCTGGCTTTTACTGTTTCCATACTATTATATTCATAAAATAAGAACAATTTGGGAATGCTTTTTGAAAAACTCATTTTCAGGTGAGATGACAGATTCTGAGCAGCTCGGAGAGAAGCCTAATGATTTTTAAGAGAAGGTGTTGCACAGGGGTGACATTACCACGGTTACTTTTCATTTCTGGGACCGTATTTTAAGTTCCATGTAAAGTCATATCGTGCCTTCTAAGTCACTTTTGAATATGTAATTATCATCCTTCACATATTTATCTTACACAGAGTCCTGTTTCTTTGTTGTATGTCTACTCAATCCAGTGACATCTTTCACGGCTAGTCTCATGGCAGCGGAGGTACTTAGGCCACTAGCTTCCGATACCTTCTGATCTCAGGTGTTGATTTTTCTTTCGGCTACGGAAGAGCCGGGTTTCAGAGGTTCTAGGTGCTTCCCGACCTGAGCCAAGTCCTCTCTGAAGGATCGTGTTGATAGGCAGGAGGGGGCAGGTTTGGATTTTTGCTGAACCCGTGACTGTTTGTCTAGGAATGCAGACACGGAGATGACTCTGGAGCGGGCAGTGAGCATGCTCGATGGAGACCACACGCCGCCGCCCAGGATCTCGGCTGCAGCAACTTTCATACAACATGAATGCTTCCAGAAATCCGAGGCACGGAAAAGGGTGAGTGTCCCCCGAAGTCCCGTGCAAAATGAGCACGCTCTCCCATCCGCTTTGGGGGCCCTGCAAACCAAAGCCAGTGATTGATTTAAATTATTAAAATTTTTCATTGAGTTATATGTCGGTTATAGCTCAATTTTTAAAAAATAAATAAAATGAAGTACAAATAAAAATAAAAATATTCATTGCGACATTTTAATTTAAAAGGAAATTACATTCATTACCAAAACAATTCCTGCAGTTCAGAAACTTCGAAAGTAAGTCACTGCACAAACCTCCCCCCCCCCTCTTTTTCTGTCTCCCCCACCAACCGCTGAGAACCATCCCCAGAGGCAACTGCCCAACAGTCTGTGTACTTCCAGGTTTTTCTGAGAAGAGCAAGCATTTGAGGCCATTGTTTACTATATGTAAAAAAATATATTAAATGTAAGTCATGCTTTCCAATTTTTGTTTTTATTCAACTATTTCATTAACATATTATGACAATGGTTCAATAGACAGCTTTGTACACACATCTTTGGGCCTTCCAGAAGTGTTCCTGTAGGACAGACTCCCCCCACGCCACCCCCACTCCCACCAAATGGATTCCATAGGTCATTTTATGTTTGTTTTAAAAAGCGGTACATTTGTTGGGGGAAAAATCATAGTTCAGAAGGTATGCAGTGAAACGCCAGTTTTTGTGCCATTCCGAACCGCAGCCTGCCCCCATCCCCCTCTCTCCCTCTCTCCCCCTTCCTATTCTTCCTCCCCCCACCCCCCCTTCTCTCTCTTTCTCCCTCCCTCTCTCTTTCACCCATTAATTTTTTGGTATCTTCCTAGAGGTGTTCCATGCATGTAGAAACAATTACTGGATGGGTTGGTTCAGTATCCTTTTTTGTTCAGAACAAAATTGCAAACGGTAGCAGATCACACACAGTAGGCTGTACGTTGTTTTCACTTGGCAATCTGCAGTCCGTGTTAGCTCTACTGCATTCCTTGAAACCACTGCATAGATTTCGCTTGTACGAATGAATGTACCAGTTTTGCTTGTTCACTTTTTAAACACTTTTATTAAGGTAACAATTTTGATGCTGTGACACCATCATCACCAGCAAGATAATGAGCATAACCGTTACCTGCCGATTTTCCTTGCACCCCTTTATAATCCAGACATTGCACCCCTCCCCAACCCACTGCCAGTCTACAGGCAACCAAGACTTGCTTTCTGTACTATATATTGAATTTTCCAGAATTTTATATAAATGAAATCATATAGTATATATGCTTTTTTGGTCTGGATTCTTTTATAGAGCTTAAACTTTTTGAGGTTCATTCATGTTGTGTATATCAAATGTGGGGTGTGTGTGTGTGGCTGAGTAGATTTTCATTATATGGATATACCTTGTTTATTCATTTACCTGTTAATGAATATTTGAGTTTTGGCTATTACACATAAAGCTGCTGTGAACATATATGTGCAAACATGTTTCATTTCTCTTTGGTATATGTATGTAGAAGCCGACTGCCTGGATAATATGATAAATGTACGCTTGACTTTTTAAGAAACTGCTAAACTGGTTTATGAAGTATCTGTGCCACCTTACATTCCTACCAGAAACGTGTGACCGTTCCAGTTCCTTCACACCCTAACACTTTTTTCTCAGTCCTGATTGGTGCCTGCACGTTTGTAGTGGGATTTCACTGTAGTTTTCATATACATTTCCCTAATGACTAATAATGTTGAACATCTTTCCATGTGCTTATTTACCATCTGTATATCTACTTTAGTGAAATACGTGTTCAGAGCTTTTGCCCATTTTTTATTGGGGTTTTTTGTTTCCTTATTGATGAATTTTGCTGGTTCTTTATATATTCTGGACATATGTCTTTTTATATGATTTGGAAATATTTTTTCCCAGTTGTGTTTTGTCTTTTCATTCTCTTGATAATTTTTAGTTTTGATGGAGTCTAATTTATCAATTTTCACTTTATATATAGATTGTCTTTTTCATGGTGTATCCAAGAAATTTTTCCGTACTCCAAGGTCACAATGTGGTGATCTACATTTTCTTCCCAAAATTTTATAGGTATTAGGTTTTATAGTTGGCCTGTGGTCCATTTGGGGTTAATTTTTGTGTATGTTGTGGATGTAGATCAAAGTTCCCTTTTAAAATATATATATACATGCAATTGTTCAGGCACCATTAAAAATATATAGCTGTGCATTTGTTGAAAAGACTATCCTTCTGGTACTAAATTGCTTTCCACTTTTGCTCAGAAGAGATTCACATATGTGTGAGGGTGTTTCTGGGCTGTGTATTCCATTCCATTGATCTGTTTGTCTATGCAAATACCACACTGTGTTGATTATAAGAGTTTTATATGAAGTCTTGAAATTAGGTAATGTTCTCTGACTTTGTTACTTTTCAAGTTATTTTGGCTATTCTAGGGTTTTGCAGTTCCGTTCGAATTTTAGAGACAGCTTGTTAATTTCAGTATTTAAAAACTTAGTGGAATGTTGAGATTACATTTAATCTACAGATCCGTAGGTAGATAACATACATCCAAACATTTTCTAACCCCTGAAATATGGTATACTTCACCACTTAGACCTTCTGTAGTTTTTCTCACAGTGTTCTGAAGTTTTTACTCTAAACGTCTTTCCTACCTTGTGTCAGATTTATCCCTAAGAATAGCATATTTCTAGATGCTTTTACAAATGGTGTTTGTTTTTTCCATTTCAGTTACCGATTGCTCATCACCAGTATATAAAACTAAAGTTGATTTTATGTATCGATCTTGTATCATGTGATATTACTAAATGCATTTATTGGCACTAGTAGCGTATTTGTAGACTCATCAGATGTTCTGCGTAGAAGATCAGGCCATCTGTGAATAAAGACACTTTTCTTTCTTCCTGTGTCTGGTTGGCTGTATTCTTCCTCTTTTCGTACTGGCTAGAACCTCGGCACAATGTTAAAAAAGAGTGAGAGGGAGTGTCCTGCTCTGTCCTGATCTTAGCGGGAGGCGTTCAGTCTTTCTTTCACTGTTAAGTATGAAGCTATCTGTAGGTTTAATTTTTTTTTAGGAATTTAATCTGGAGGTTTTTGTGCTGTGTTTTTTTTTTTTTCAGAAGAAAGGAAAAAGGTTTATATTTTAGTATATTTTCCTGTTGTTTTCCTGTTTTTTTAATTGAGATATAATTAACACATGGTATTACATTATTTTCAAGTACGTAATATGATGATAATACATGTATATATTGTGAAATGACCACCACAGTAAGTCTAGTTACCATTCAGCACCACAGTTATGTTTTTTCTTCTGATAAGAACTTTTAAGATCACTTGCAGCAACTTCAAATATATAGTACAGTATTATTAACAATAGCCATCATGCAGTAATTATTGCATCTTTATTATTTATTTTGTAACTGGAAGTTGTACCTTTGACCACCTTCAGTTTTCAGCCAACTGCCAACCTTTTACCTCTTGCAACCACCAATCTATTTTGTATCTGTGATTTTGGGTTTTGTTTCTTTATATTTTAAATTCCATGTATAAGTGAGATCATATGGTATTTGCCTTTCTCTGACTTACTTAACTTAGCATAATGTCCTCAAGGTACCCCATGGCTGAGTAATATCTCGTGTGTGTGTGTGTGTGTGTGTACCCCACATTCTCCATATCCATTCATCCATTAATGAACATTTAGACTGTTTACATGTCTTGCCTATTGTAAACAGTGCTGCAGTGAACATGAGGGTTTGTGTATCATTTTTTATTAATATCTTTATTTCCTTCAGATAAATACCTAGAAGTGAATTGCTGGATCATATGGTAGGTTCTATTTTTAATTTTTTGAAGAACCTCCATACTGTTTTCCATAGTGACTGTACCACTTCACATTCCCACAACAGTGCACAGGGTTCCCTTTTCTCCACATTCTTGCCAACATTTGTTATCTGCTTTGTCTTTGATAATAGCCATTCTAACAGTTGTGAGGTGATATCTCATTGTGGTTTCGATTTGCATTTCCCCGATGATTAGCGATATTGAGCACCTTTTCACGTACCTGTTGGCCATCTGTATGTCTTCCATGGAAAAATGTCTGCCCATTTTTAAAAATCAGATTTGGTTTTTCGCTATTGACTTGTAGGAGGTCTTTATATATTTTGGATATTAATCCCCTACAGGTATATGATTTGCAAGCATTTTTTCCCATGTGGTAGGTTGCCTTTTCATTTTGTTGATGGTCTACTTTGCGGTGCAGAAGCTTTTAGTTTGGCATAGTCCCACTTGTTTATTTTTGCTTTTGTTGTCAAAGCCAAAAAATCTTCACCAAGACTGATGTCAAGGAGCTTACTGCCTATGTTTTTTTTTTTTTTTAGGAGTTTTATGGTTTCAGGACTGTGTTCAAGTCTTTAAGCCATTTTGAGTTGATTTTGGGGTATGGTGTAAGATAGTGGTCCAGTTTCATTCTTTTGCATGTGGTTGTCCAGTTTTCCCCACACCATTTATTGAAGAGATTTTCCTTTTCCATTGTATATTCATGGCTCCTTTGTCATCAGTTAATTGACCATATGTGTGTGGGTTAATTTCTGGGCTCTCTATTTTGTTCTGTTGATCTATATATCTGGTTTTATGCCAGTACCATACTGTTTTGATTACTGTACCCTTGCACTATAGTTTGAAACCAGGAGTTGTGATGCCTCCAGCTTTATTCTTCATTCTCAAGATATCTTAGGCTATTCATTGTCTTTTGTGGTTACAATCAAATCTTAGAATTGTTTGCCCTATTTCTGTGAAAAATGCCATTGGAATTTTAATAGCAATTGCATTGAATCTGTAGATTGCTTTGGGTAATGGACATTTTAACAATATTAATTATTCCAGTCCATGAATGTGGAATATCTTATTTGTGTCATTTTCAGTTTCCTTCATCATGTCTTATACTTTTCAGAGTACAGGTCTTTCTCCTTCAGAGTACAGGTCTTTCTTCTCTTTGGTTAGATTTATTCATAG